GAGAGAGAGAGAGGACAGAGGATCGGAAGAGTTCTCTGCGCTAACTAACGGCAGTGAGCTGATGTGGGTGGGGCTTGAACTCAGGAAGTGTGAGATCATAATCTGGGCTGAAGTCTGACGCCCAATCGACTAAGCCAGCCAGATGCCCTATAGCTCTTGTTTTTAGGAATGGGTTTAACATTTACTATCAGGACGCAGACACCTGTCAGTTTCTCTGACCCGAGCTGCTCCTCCCTGGTCCCTGCTCAAAGCAGCCCCTGCTCCTCACCCAATGCCCGCCAGGGGCACTCTGCTCCCATTCGTCCAGTGCAGACCCACTACCTGTGACTTGGGCTCACCCCTTGCCAGAGCCTCTCACGGTAAGGGATGTGTCCCTGTCCCACATCATCTGTGAAGTCGACATAGGCACCTGGAACCTTGAGACTGGGATGGGAATTTTACTCAGTTGGATCCAAGGGATTCAGGGTGCCCATGCTGAAAACATGTGCGGGTGAAACACACACACACACACACACACACACACACACACATAATCGCCTCTGTCTCACAGATTCTGGATTCTAGAATATGGGAGCCAGATTTCCCTTTATATACCTTCTCAGCACACTCATGATAGTATTAACCTCTAGCCCATACCTGGCAGAGAAATGAATCTGAGGAGGAGGAGGAGGTGAAGACCACCCACTCCCTTTTAAGAGGGAGGTATGGGCAGATCAGCTAGAGATTGTGGCCTCCATGACACTGGTCATGGGGAAGCAAGAGGGATTTGGTGGCCTTGTCCTCCCCCAATACCTACACAGCATCCCACCAAGGCTGCCCCCCGACCCGGGGCAAATCTAGACTGAGGAGGGGGTCTCCACTTAAAAGAGACACAGGTCCTGACCTCCCAAGAATCCTTCTCCATTTCTGCCCTAAACAGACGTCAAGCAGGGATGCTCATCTGTGACAAACCCCACCCCTGGAGGAGGGGACAGCAAGTGACCTTCACCTTAACCATGAAGTAATTCTGGGAGCCTAAGGCTGGGGCAGCATTGCTTGGAGCAGACTGTGGATGAAGTTTACACAGTGCTGCATGGAGTCAGAACTCGTCCCCCCATCTCATGTGTGGCTGGCACAACACTAGGTGAGTGCCCACCTAGTGGACACTGGAGGAGACAGAGCTGGTATGGCCCAAGCAGCAGGGCAGGTGGGTCCCAGCCTGGGCCCTCCGGGAGCCACACCCCACCCTGAGTTTCCTGGTCCCTTCTGGACTCACCTAGGGCTCCAAGTGGGCAGACACGGGTGAGGGTCTAGACAACAAACGAGAGCCAGTGAGAGAGGAGAGGGATGGGGGGGGGTCGATGGGGCAGCTGCAGGTCCACCTGGGAGCCCAGCCTGAGGCAGGGGAAGGCTGTGGGGGTCTCTGTCCTCACTCAGGCTCAGGGAAAGGTTAAGAGCAGATCCAGGATGAAATCAAGTCCCCTGTGTTCAGGTGCCTTGGGATATAGGTCTCTGGCTGGAGAGGGGATGCATCTCTTGGGAGAGATGGGTTTAGTGTTCTCAGGAATGTAGGTATTTCCTGGGTAGGAGGAACGGGAAAAGGGTTCTTTAGATCAGGCGGCTCAGATGCAGTCAGGCTATAAAGGGGGCTGAGCTCACACGTGTTGCATTATGTATATGACCAACAGTAGTATTTAGGGAATTAGGGGGCTCCCAGCTGGCTCAGTTGGAAGGGTGGAGGTGTGTGAGACTCGTGATCTCAGGGTCGTGGGTTCAAGACCCATGTTGGGTATAGAGATTACTAAATAAGAAATAAATAAACTTAAAAAAAAAATTTAGAGGGTTAGGTTTGGAGTGGGAACCAAGAGAGGTATGGCACCGGGCACGACTTTGGAAACTGAAGCAGGGATGTGGATGGGGCTGGGCCTGGGGGCGTGGAACGGGTGTCACTATGATGGAGTGAGTCTTCACTCCCCTCGCAGCCCAGGATGGAAATCGTTGAGAAGCTCAACCTAGGGTAGGGCCATGCTGCAGTCCGCCGAAGTCTGGAGCGGCCCAGGAAGCGAGCAATGAGTCAGTCTTCAGTAGCTCACACCTAAGGGCAGACCAGCCAATCAATCCCCTCCTAAGGAAACTATGTGCTTGCCGGTGATTCTCAAACAGTCTGCTGGGGAGCTTAGGAGTGGCCTGATCTGAACTGCCCAATCAGAAACGGGTCAGTAAAGGCTGGGCCAGCTGGCTGCAAAACGTTCCAGTCCTGATCATTCTCCTTCATTGGCCTACACCCTCTTCAGAAGCGATGATACCACGAAGGTGGATCTTAGGTAAGGAGGACCCCAAATCTCACCCCATCCCCCACGCAGTTCCCACACCCCAACGTCATCCCAGTCTCCTCCCCACCCCTGGCCACCTCAGAAGCATCTCTGACAAACAGCTCCGTTCTTTAACAAACCATAAACCTTCTGTCTGTCTGGGAGCCCAGTCTCCCCTTAATACTTGTCCCCCAGAAAGCCTCAGCAGCTCACAACCTGTTTGAGCTAGCTCCCTTAGAGGGATAGCCCCAAACCAAATTCTGTACCTTTATTATTATTTTTAATGTTTATTTATTTATCTTGAGGGGGGAGGGGCAGAGAGAGAGAGAGAGAAAGAGGGAGAGAGAGGATCCGCGCTGTCAGCACAGAGCCGAGGTAGGGCTCGAACCCACGAACCATGAGATCATGACCTGAGTTGAAATCAAGGGTTGATCGCTTAACTAAGCCACCCAGGTGCCACCCCCCAAAATCCGTACCTTTAAACCACCCTAACCTGGTCTTCTTCCCTACTCATCTGCCTTCCCTGAGGATCCCTCGACCATTTTCCCCACCCCACTTTCCTCCTTGAGATATAATGATTTATAAGAAATCCGTATTTGATCATTCAGATAACCAAAACGTATTTCTCATGTGCATTTGGTCTTCACAAATTCCTGAAAATGACTCAGAGCCATAAAGGTGAAAGGAAGGCGACTTTTGAACCCCACCCAAGAATGGGAGCTGGTAGCCAGGAGGACCAAGCAGGCAGACGAAGGAGGGGAACATTCATTCCCACCTTCCCCACCTCCTGGGAGGGGAGAAGGGCCAGAGACTGAATCGGCCAATGGCCAATGATTAATCAGTCATGATTATAAAACCCAAAAGGACTGGGTCTGGAGGGCTTCCAGGTCGGTAAGCAGGTGGAGACTGGGGAGCATGGTATGCCTGGAGAGGCTCAGGAACCTTCCCCAGACCTTGCCAAGTGCATCTCTTCATCTGGCTGCTGATTCATATCCTTTATCAGAGCCTTTAATAAACCGATAACATAAGCGGGGGTTCCCCCAAGTTCTGTGAGCTGCTCCAGCAAGCCGGACGAACCTAAGGAGGTCACTGGAACCTCCAATCTGTAGCCGGTGAGTCAGAGGCACAGGTGACAGCCCAGGTGGGATTGTGACTAGTGTCTGCCGTGAGGGGTGGGGGACAGTCTTGCGGGACTGAGCCCTTAACCTGTTAGGAGCTGATGCTATCTCTGGGTAGACAGTGTCAGGACTGAGTTGAATTCTCAGACACCCGCTGGTATCTGAGAATGGCCTGGTGTTGTGTGGGCGTGAATTGGGAATTCCGACTGGAAAAGAGCCCACTTTATTTTTCCCGTAGGAGTTCCTGTCTGCATAACAATTTTCTTCCTCCAGGGTTCAAAGGCAGTGGCGGGTAAGACCAAGGAGAGAGAATGGGGAGGGAGGAAGCTGCCCTGGGCATCTGTCCCTCCTTGGACGCCCACCATCAGTGTCTCCACCAGATGCCCCCATGGGCTCAGGTCTGTGGCTGTGCCAGCCCGCCCCTCGGTGTGGGGACCAGGTCTACGACCCCTTGCAGCACTGCTGTAGCGATGACACCATCCTGCCCCTGAACCGGACTCGCCAATGTGGCCCCAACTGCACCTTCTGGCCCTGCCTGGAGCTCTGCTGTCCTGAGTCCTTTGGCCCCAAGAGGTTTGTTGTGAAGTTGAAGGTCCTGGGTACCCAGTCCCAGTGCCCTTCGTCGCCCATCTCCAGGATCTGCCCCAGGTAAAGGCCCCAACTGCTCGCGGCTGAGGGAAGGAAGCAGGGATGAGGGACACAGAGGGTTCTAGGGGGATCCCCTTCCTGTTATTTTTATCTCCGGCCATTTCTGGAAACTTCCCACTCTTTTCCTTGTCTCCGTCTCATAATTTCCTAATTTTTCTTTCTCTGCAGCTGAAGGAAACCTCTCTAGGCGAGCTCCTTACAAAAATGGAATGGTTTGCATTTGCCAGCACAGACCCGCATATATCACCAGCTTCCCGCCCTCCCCACCCGCCCCCCCACAGCCCCCTGCAGGGTTGGCAGGAAAACAGAGAAGCCAACTGACCTGACCTGCAACCTGCCTCCTGGTCCCCGTGCTGCCCATCTTTGAACACTCAGAGACTCCAATAAAATAAAATAAAATACAATGTCAGGAGCCCAGATTGGGAAGGGAGGAGAGGGGTAAACTTTCAAGCTATACCTCACAGAGTCCTTCGAAGAACCAACTGGAAGAAGCCCACCTCACCACCTCAGCAAGAGGAAGATTCTGTCCTGGCAACAGCCCAGCCAATGAGATGATCGCATCCCAGCCAATCAGAAGATCGCAGCCCAGCCAATGAGAAGCCACCACACTTATAACTCCCAGTTTCCTCCAAAGAAATTTTAATTCAGAAAGCTTTCTCGAGTTACCCCTTCTCTCCTTAAAAAAGTGTGCCTTGGGGCACCTGGGTGGCTCAGTTGGTTAAGTGACCACCTCTTGGTTTCAGTTCAGGTCATGACCACACAGATTGTGAGTTCGAGCCCGGCGTCAGGCCCTGCACTGACAGTGTGGAGCCTGCTTGGGGTTCTCTCTCTCCCTTGCCCTCTGCCTCTCTCTCTCTCAAAATACATTAAATTAAACTTCTTTTAAAAGTGTGCCTCAGGGGCGCCTGGGTGGCTCGGTCGGTTAAGCGTCCAACTTCAGCTCAGGTCATGATCTCACACTCCGTGAGTTCGAGCCCCACATCAGGCTCTGTGCTGACAGCTCAGAGCCTGGAGCCTGCTTCAGATTCTGTGCCTCCCCCTCTCTCTGCCCCTCCCCTACTCATGCTCTGTCTCTCTCTGTCTCAAAAATAAATAAAAACATTAAAAAAAAAAAAAAAAAAAAAAAAAAAAAAGCGTGCCTCTCCTTTGCTCCCTGGACTTGCCTGTGGCTTTGCCACAGCTTGTTTGTCTGGGATTGCAATTCTCTTTTATTCCCCCCAATAAACCCATCTTTTGCTGGTAAAGTAACTGACAGCATCTACTTTTGAGGCTAACGACACCAAAAATGTTAACTTTGTGTGAGGTGATGAATGTTGTTAATTATCTTGATCTTGGTAATAATTCCGCACTACATTGTATATCAAATCATTGCGTTGTATACTTTAAACACATACATACGTTTGTCAATTATCCCTCAATAAAGCTGAAAAAAACCCACTTAAACGGGACCATTTCAATGAACAAAGCATGACATAAAACATAGTTACAAAGCAGCTTTTGTCTTCACACCTCTTTCCTTTACGATTTTTTCCCGATTCTTCCCCTGCCCCTGGATAAAAAGGTGAAATGCCATGAAATTTTCTGGCCTCTTTTTTTTTTTTTTTTTTTAATTTTTCTTTAATGTTTATTTTTGAGGCAATGCGAGAGACAGAGTGCAAGCAGCGGAGGGGCAGACAGAGCGAGACACAGAATCCGAAGCAGGCTCCAGGCTCTGAGCTGTCAGCACAGAGCCCCACGCGGGGCTCGAACTCACGAACCGTGAGATCATGCCCCGAGCCGAGGTCGGACGTTCAACTGACTGAGCCACTCAGGCGCCCCGAATGGCCTCTTTTATTTAGTAAATATCTTCTTCTGACCAATTGAAAATGTCCAGAAGCATGTAAAAGTGAAAGCAACCACCTTGATTTAAGCTTACATGTCACGCTCCCTCGTAGCTCTGGCCCTCCGCAAAAGTGGAAGCCTGCGTACAAGGAAGGGACGTGGGCGCCTTTTATTTTTCCCTAGCACGCGCTTTTATGCACCTTCTCCCAGTTTTCTGACTTGGTTTCCGAACCCACCAACGTAGGAGCTCGGAACCCTCTGAGCTTCACTGCTATCGCTCCCCAGGCTCCTACAGCGGTGGGTCCTCCTCCATCAGGACCATCATGGTGGCCCAGCACTGACACTCCCTGAGCTTTGCAAATATTTAAAGCTGCTTCCTCCCCTTCTGGGTGCATTCTGGCTTCTACCCGCACGCACATCTCTCACCTGAACTTCCTTTGATGGGGGGCAAGCGCCTCAATTCCGCTTGCGTGTTTACATTCCTTCTCAACCTTGCAAAGTCAGCAACCAAAGTCCAGCGGCAGCTAGGCTGGCAGGCGTCATGCAGATGTCCATGCAGCTACATCAGATGGGCCACTGCCAGCCACGGAGTTGTGGGCTTATGCAAAGCGAGGGCTACTGCCTGGGGACGCCAGTGCCTGGAATGGGGCAGACGCAGGTATGAGGGCCCGAACCTCACGTGTGTAACTTGGGATCTGTCTGGGTAAAGGGGTGCAGGCTGGCTCCATCCCCATGGGAGATGCACCTGTGCAACCCCCCCAGGAGGCAAAATCAGGTGCACTGCGCTCGGCACGACTCTCCCCGGACTCCAAGGGGCGGCGGAGCCCTGACGGGGCCCCGGAGCCGCCAACGGAAACCATTAAGGAGGATCACAGCCCCATGCGAGGGCAGTCGCAGCCACTAACTCAGCAGAGTCCCAGAGTCCAGGAAGCCCCAGGGGCAGCAAAAGCGACCGCACTGCGAGCCTAATGGCGCGACCTCGACGGAAATATGGCGGCTCCCTCTGCCGCAGCAGTGCGCATGAGCGAGCTCTGCTGGAGGCGCCTGCGCACTGCGGCGCTGCGCTGCACCGCATGCTCCGCGTCCTCCCGCCAGAAGGAGGGACTGCTGGAGCTGCTGGGCTGCGAAATCCCAGGAAAGGGTGCCCCGCAGGCCTTTTGAGTGACAGGGTAAATGCTATATGCTGCTGTGTTTGGAGCATTTTAAACCCGCCCTTGATCCCACCATTGGATGCTGTTATAACCCCTATAAAAACTAAATGACCCAAAACACAGACCAATCCAAGGCGTGACGAGTCCGTTGATGCCTCTTTGGATAGTAAGATCCTCGTGATCTGTGTTACATTTGCTCATCCAAGTTCACAGTTGGGGCGGGGGTGAGTGCAAATAGGTTCAGGATAAGTTTTACCCCCTTCTCCTTGGGAAGTTGACCTCAGGCATGTTCTCTGGATACTGTTTCTTTGGAACCGTCGTGGTTTAAGATAAAGGCGTAGTGTCAGCTGTGTTATCAGGCAACATTGTTTATCATTTAAGAGCTCTCCTGATCCGCACTGAAAACTGCGACTATGTGACCGGAGTTAGAGATCCCTGGAAAAGGAATGACAGACATAGCTTTCTGGACACAAGGAGAGTCATTTTAGGCCCCGGGGGCCATCTTATGAAACAGTGTAAGAATAAACAGCCAGGAGGTTGACTAATCCTATCAGGGCAATAAATCAGAGTTAAAACTCCCAGTGCTCATTCATATGTGAAGACAGCCTTGTGCACACTAAGGAGTAATCTTTGTGGGATCTAAGCCCTTTTGAGCACTCAGATACTAGACCACAAGGAGCCAGAGAATTGATAATGCTGACCTTTGCCAAACCTAGTGACTTTGGCCTGGACTCAGTCATGTTAAGATGATTTTTCCGCCGCCAAAGATCCACCGCATTTTCCTCGTTGAAAATAAAACCCTTTCTTTCCCTATTCTTTGGCTTCATTCTGTCTTGTGGTTCAACACTACCAAGAGGCCAAGATGTGAACCCAGTTTCTGGTAGCAAATGGACCCATAGGTCCAGAGGGCCTGCATAACCTGTGGACTACTTAAGAGAGAAGTCTCAGTTTTCCTGGGTGGATTTTCTTGTTTCTGAGCACAACACTTGCCTGTCTTGGAAGCTACACTGAGTTTCTCTCTTCTAGTCTGTTTTCCATTCACAACCACTATGTGTCACAGCAGCCGATTTCTTCAGTTCACATACACAAGTCACAATAGGCTTCAGCTCAGCAGAGCAGAGTTAAGAGGACATAGGAGGGAAACCCAACATGCCACCATGACAGCATTAGACACATCTTTATGGGGATGCCTTGCAACTATCTAGGTGGTCCTTTCTGGCCTCCCAAACAGGCAGCCCAGTTGAAAGGGGTAGGCCACGTGGTTGGAGATGCAAACTATCTCACATGTAGATCCTCATACGGGACAGGAACCATCAGCTTGTATCAGCCCATGAGGGTGGCTTCCAAAGTATACAAGTGTCATATTCAGAAAAAAGAAACTTCACCCAGGAAAACAAAAACTTATTTCTTAAACCTTTTTTTAAAAATGTATTTATTTTTGAGAGAGAGAGAGAGAGAGAGAGCCATCAGGGGATGGGCAGTGAGGGAGGGAGAGAGAGAATCCCAAGCAGGCTCCACACATCAGTGCAGAGCCCATGCAGGGCTTGAACTCACGAACTGTGAGATCATGACCTGAGCTGAAATCAGGAGTTGGACGCTTAACCTACAGAGCCACCCAGGTGCCCCCTTAAACCATTTTTATTAAAACAGTCCAGGCTACGTAGGCTACGGGCCCACTGACGATCCACTTAGTCTGGTCAGGGGTCTTTTCAATGATAAACAATGTTGTCTGATGACACAGGTGATGAGGGAGCATAAGGCAGGCTGACGCCCCACAAACCACCCCCCACAAGGTGGGATGTGTGTGATACATCAGTCACTCCTGGCTACCCAAGGACAAAGGAAAGGGAGAGAAAACCAATGGTTAACTGATAGAGGTCACAGTCATGCAGGACTTGAATCTCCATCAGTTTACAAATATCTTAGTAAATTACAAGAAAAAGGCAACCTTATCAATAGCTGAATCTCCAGGAACCCCCTACTGTCTTAATGCTAATGCTTTGCTATAAGGAAAAACAACCTTAGCTTGACA